CTAACAAAAGCATTTTAAGAAGTGATCAGAATCCTTTCTGCTGAGCACTTTCATCAGCAAATTGTGTTTGGTCCAAACTGGAGCTGCATGGGCTCTAAGTGTGCGCTGCAGAGGAAGGCTGCTGGGTTTGGGGTATCTCAGATTAATTCTGAGGCAAAGAGAAATGTTCCACCATCATTCTGGTGCCAGAAAAATGGACATCACACTTTCCAGCCTCTCCTTCTTCAGGCTTTGGATATTGGCCTAATTAGTAGCTTTGCTGTTTCCTCCTTGAATTCCTTTAGGAATACTAGGAGATGCCATCCAGTCCTCCTTACTGTTCCTGAACCTCTTCTGAGGATGCTTTGATTTAGGATAGATCCTCTTGTAACACATAGAGTGCATCATTCACACAGCCATGGGTCTTGACCACGACCGTGGGGTTTCTTGGTGCGGTGCTGGGCATCTGTAGTGGGATTCCTGCAGCAAACCCCAAGGTCGCACTCCGAGGTAATGATCTGTGAAGGAACCAGTTAAAACAACTGCCTGTTTCACTTGGGATCTAGAGAGGCTTGCAAACATGCCAGACCTCCGTAATGGATCTCTGGAGGGAGAACAGTACCTGGAGGAGCTCCAAGTCCCACCTTCTCCATGCACATCACTAAAGAACAGCTCCCTCCTGCGCCCGCTGTGCCCAGCGCTTTTGCTCGGGGCCGTGCTGGGGACAGCGCTGGGTCACAGCGAGCTGCGTCTCTGCAGAGAGATGGACTGGCTTTGTAGGCATGGTATCTGCTGGGTACATTGGGAAAAACTGCTCTCTTTTGCATTTCTTAGTTTTTCAGCAAGTAGATTATTTTTTTCCACTCTTACAATGATTGTAACAGGATTTTATTCTCCTGCAGACAGCTGTTAGCAATTAGCAACTTGATCCATTCAGTCCCGAGAACAGAGTTTAACACTTTCTTGCCTCCGTGAGGATGTTGCTAATCATGTTTTTGCTGGTTTTGGGCTTGTGCTGTAGTTTTGGCACTTTCTGTGTATGTGTGGGCAGGTCAGGAAGAACAGCATGAGTACTGCAGGGGACTGGAGTGCAGCTGAAGGAGCTACAAAGAAAAGCGTCAAGCTGTCTACCCAGGAAAAAGTTGTTAGGAAGATGATTTCTAAGCAGTTTGTAGAGAGGCTTGTATTTAGCAGTATATTCCAGTGTTTTCTAGCACTTGGAAGCGTGCAGTTTGGGAATCCAATCTGCTACCAGCTGAGATTTAGACTCAGCAGAAATCAACGTTGGTAGTTTTTCAAACAGCGATTTCTGGCAGTACAGGCTCCTGAGTGGAGCTGAGGCTCCTCTAAATTGAGATGGGAAGAACAGCAGCAGCTGTAGAGCACGAGAAGATGAGGAATGACACTTTGCTCTGTGTGTGCAGCACCTCTCCCGAGATTCCCAAACCTGCACTTTGGTGGTCCAGGACTGGGAACCAAGTGTGGTGGGAAGAGCAAACCCAGCACAGCCTGAAGCCAGCTGTTGGGGTCCCTGCCCAGAGCTGAGCTGCTGGAAATTGTTGGGCACTGCCACATACAAAGGTGAGGATTTGTGTCACCGAACTGTGGCCACCTGGGAGCGATGAGGCTGGTCCAGGACAGCCCTTCAGGTTCCCTTTGTCATCAGTGGAGACAGACACATCCCATCCTGCTCATCTTCAACACTTCAGGCAGGGGCCAGATTCAAAGCCAGCTTTTGTAGGCACTGAGCTGCAGACAGGTGAACTCTTGAACCAGCTCTGGAGGTTTCCTTGTCTCTCCGGGAGGCCAGGCTGGCCTCTATGGCCACATCTTCTCGCAGTTTTCCCACACCACACTATTTTTGTGTGACCTACTGACGTCCACTTACCCATCAAGTCCTGGGAAGCCCCCAGTTCCCAGGGTGCTGGCTGCAGCCCGCAGGGTAGGGTGGGACAGATAACCGTCTGAGCCATCCCAACCCCTACCTGTTCTCCAGCGCTGGTTGCTGGCTCAGTGGCAGGAGCCGGCATGGTGCTTGGGCATGTCTACGTGATGTTGTTGTCCACCCTCTACTCCGTTCCTTCTGCCCTGCTGTTATCATCTACATTCTGATCGCCGCATTCAAGCGGTTAAATGATGTGACTGGCTGTGTGGCAATACAATAGGTGTGATTTAGAACATGCCATGAGCTTGGCGTAAAGCAAATGGGCACTTAAATTATCGTGTTTGGGCTGTACCTGCTCAAATGAGATAATGTTTGTGTTGCACAGCGCGTCGTTATATTGCTGTGACAGTGGTGGCAGTTGTCATGACTCGCTCGCACATCATTTTGAGAGGATGAGAGAAACTCAGGACAGCTATTCAGTTGTCAAAAGCTAAAATCCTTATGCTAAGTTTCAGCTTAGTACCTGTCCCTGGGGATGGTGGCCGATCCCTGCTGGGCTGCGGGCTCTGTGCTGACGGCAGGGGATGGAGCTCCTTCGTCCCTGTGATCCACTGCAGGCGGCTCCTGGTCCTTCTTTGCTGGGCTTCTGGATCAAATGGGAAGCCAAGGTACCTGAACACCTACAGTGATGTCTGGGGTTGCTCTCGTTTCTTTTTTTGCTTCAAGAGCAGGCTCTGGTCCTCACCTGGCCGTGGCCCATTGCTGTTTCCATGCTCTCCGGTCAGCCTTTCCCTTAACCCTGGCTGTGTCACAGGGGGAAATCCCGGGGTGTTTTGGTGAGTGCCAGCCTGTGCCTTTACAGCTGCGTGTTTGCCAGGTGGTTCTAGGCTCTGAAGGGGTGATGGGGGCATGGAACATAGATGTGCTCATCCTCTGCCCTCTGAGGGCTCCAGTACAGCTGGCAGCTTTTGAACCTCCAGCTGAGAAGTCACCTGGGAGGTATCTCCAAGCTGCTGTTCTCCTGCCAGGTTCTCCTCGGGCACTTGCAGCTGTGTTCGGTGGCTGGTCCAGCACAGGGGCCCAGCGGAGGATCTGCTCTAACCCCCATAGTGCAGCAGATCTGGGCAGACACCAGGGCCGTGGTCAGGGCACCCCAGGTACCACCCCACAGCTCTGCTGTGCTCCCCATCACCTCCTTCAGCAGCGTGGCTGAGGCTGAAGCCTTGATGTCCATCACTCTTTCATGTGGGAGGACAGGCTCCTCTAGTGCTCAACTCTCTGCAGGTCCCTTTAAGACCCCAGCTTTGGGATCCTCTGGGGCACCCTCGCGAATCACCGTCACAGATTAACATCCACCAGGTCCAGCTCTGCTGCAGAAATGTCTTTACAAAATCTCCCTCTGCAGCAAGTCTCTGCTCCATGGGACTTGCAGTCTGCCATGGGATGGTGGGAAATGGTGGGCTTGCACCAGAGATCACCCCCCCTCCGTTTCGGGGGGGAAGCACGACCTTGGACACACACACAGCTTGAGAGCGCTTGGTCAAAGCCTCTCTTCTGATGGCCAGCCCCTCCTGCTGAGATACGGGCTGGCTTTTCCCTCCAGTGCTTTGCTTTTGCACGCTCGCCACCCACGATGCCACAAAATCCCAGAACCTTGTGGTCGCCCTCCTCCCAGCCTCGGCCAGGAGGACGCACGAGGGGTGGCTGGGGCAGTTCTAAGGTCTGTTTTGGGTTCCCTTGTGCTGTGGCATGGCCAGGCACAGCACCGCCGGGCAGCGTCCGCCCATCGTGAGCTTCCCCTCCTGCATGAGCATTTGGCTCTTTTCCCAAGAAGGCCTTTAGTAGTTTTTTGGGCTCAGAGCCATCTTTTCTGATGGAATGCAGCAGGGACAATGGCCAGTAGCAAATCCTTAGGAAAGAGAATGAAAACAGGGCAAGCCTCAGTGATTCTAACCCCGATTTAGCTTCTGGGCATCCAGCAGTCTGTGGCTGGGGGATTTCCCCAGCCAAAGGTTTTACCTTTGGATTTAAGAAGCCGTGGTGTATCTTTCTGTTGTGAATATATCCAATTGTGTTGGTATCCATGGCAACTCATGGCTGTGACTTGTACAGTTTAATTATGTTGGGTAGAAAAAATACTGCCTTTTGTTACAATCTCTGAGCTAATGGCATCTGATGCTGTTGTCCTTATGCGTGTGTGTGCGCTGGCATAGTGACGGTCCCTTTTTTATCCTCTCTTCCTTAACTAACAAATCTTAACATTCAATTTTGCCTTTTTACTACCACTCTGAGGATTCTGGAGCAAACACCCTCTGATCCTGGCAGCTTTTCATTTGTTGATTTGTTCTGTTTTCTTTTCACCTGACGTTTCAATATGAGACAGAGCCTTTAACCTGCCTTCCGGAGAGCTTCTTCCAGGATGGGAACCTCCCGAGGCTCTTTGTAGTGAGTGTGGACACAAAGAATCCACAGAACTCTGCTGGTATGACCTTGTGTTCCTCTAGGTGTAATCACGGCTTTCCAGTGAAATTGCCAGCATTTAAGCCGTTTGCTATTTTCCCCGTTTCCAAACAGGAAATTAAGTGTGCTCGCATGTGTGAGTGCACATGCTCTTTTGGCAGCAATGTGGACATGTAGGGAGAGATTACTTTCGCCCTGTTTCAGACGTTTATCTGAAGAAGGTAGTGTGACAAGTTCCAGAGCACCCACTTGGCTACTTGGAGTAGAGAGCTGGTGCAGATGGAGGGGTGCATTGGGATCAGCCGCACTTGGGGAGCCTCGGTGGGCTGGAGATGCAGCTTCAGCTCTTGTTCATATAATAAGGAAAGGGAAGAATCGATGGAGAGAGATTGCTTTGCTTTGGACTTGCTTAAGAGCAGCTAAGAGAGGATAGTCATGGCAGCTGAGCTCCTAAAAGCTGAATGACGTGAATAGCTTTAGAGATGGTGAGGAGAGTCAGGCAGTCGGTAGTTCTTCCCTAAGCCTCTGCTGAGGTGAGGGGGCAGAGCAGGGCTGAGATCAAGACCCTCCTGAAGGCATGGAAGGCTGCCCAGCCCATCACGAGGCAAGGACGGTCTAGACAAGTCTGCAGCACAGAGGAGTCCTGTCTTTGGAGAACTCTCATCTTCTTTCTTTGCTTTGTCTTTCAGAAATGTAGATGGCAGCTGCTGTCTTTGAAGGACTCGCACCCATCTGACCCTGCGCAGCGCCTCCGATTGCTACCATGATCTTCTGCATGCTGCTGCTGGCCTCACTGCCTGAGCCATCTGGTGCCGAAGTCAACCCTGGTAGGGAGAGAACTCTAGTCTCCCACCTTTCATGTGTTTGTTCTCAGCCTTTCTTTGCCAGTCACGGTGAATACACATACACATAACGAGTGCACGTAAATGTGGTCACTAACACGGTCCCTGAATGCGTCCCTCTGGACTGAGTTGGCCAGTCTTACTTGACAGCTGTACTGGAGTGAAACACCTCTCCTGGCCGTCCCAGGAGCCCCAGGCACATGGATGTGCTCCTTTCTCTGCCCACCCAGGGGGTCCATGCTCTCACCAGGCCTGTTTAGAGCTCTGATTATCTCTTCACCAATTTGAGCATCTGGTCTGGGGACCAAACCTGGCTCAAGACTGGTTCAGAGATACTGTGTGCACTGTGGAAAGTAAATAACCAGTTAGCAAACATAAGCTACAGCTCTCCAGCCAGAAAGAGAGGCTCAGGAGAGAGAGGCATGGAAGGAAAGGTTGAAAACCCTACCTGGCACACAGCTGGGGTGGAGATAGGGGTAGGAGCCTGTGAGTCCCTGTGGAGGGCGTGACCTCTTGTCCTACCGCATTTGGCAAGCTTTAATCATGATGGAGATGAGTATGATAATGGTCTGCAATATATTGCAAAAATCCTCGTAATGAGGTGGTTTGAGCTGGAGACAGTCTGTGAAATAAATGAGTCTGAACTGGATGATCTTTAAGGTCCCTTCCAACCCAAACCATTCTGTGATTCTGTGGCTTGCTCCAAGAGTGGTCTAGAGCACCTCCTGCATTGCTGTCTAAACCAAAGGGGCTGCTTTGGGGATGATTTCGGACCTGTGCAGGAAGGATCCTGTGCAGTTCTTTTGCCCAGCATCAGTTGTGTGAGCTCACTAACAGAGGAGAGCTGTGACATTTTTCTGAGCCCCCATGTATCCTGGCTGCATGGTGAGTGTCTCCCTGAGTGTGTAGTACAGGGTCAGGGATGTCTGAGCAGGAGTCCTGGTGGCACCTAAACAGAACCCAGGGATGGTTTTGCTTGCGAGGATGTGCATTTTGGTGAGAGCCTCATGCTGCTTGTTCTGGTGAGACCCACAGCCACCTGCACAGTGCATCCCTCAATGCCAGGGCCAGTCTGGCTTCCACCTGCCAGCCCTGGCTTTGTGAACTAATCGGTTGTGTTCAGGATTGCAATAGGTCCTGCTCCCTCCCAGTCCTTCCCAAGTAGCTGGCTCTCAGTCTGGCATTGCTGTGCACTTGACCTTTAGATAAGGTGTGACCAGACAGGACTCCTGCTGCAGAAACACAAAAGCGCTTTCTGCTTGCAGGCGACGACGACGCAACCCTTTTGGAAAGTCTTCAGATCCTTTCCCGTAGTTCAGCAACACGCTAGCTTCCCAGCAATAGAGGAGACTGTGCTGGTCTGTGGTGGGACAGGTAGGAGTGCAGACAGGCGAGGCCGGTTTGCTTTATCGCACTTAGTGCTCAGCATCAGAGCAGCGTTAGCGCCTCCGTTGGCTTTCAGCAGCTGCAGTCCCACGCCTGATCCCAGCCTGATGTCAGCTACCTCCCAGTGAGTTCTTCTGTAAACAGGCCTCTTCAGAAACCTCAGATGTACAAATGAGTGTTCTGGGTGAGACCAGAGGCCCATCCTGCTTGGTGTCCTGACTCCAGCAGGGTCCCATCCCTGCTGGTTCTGAAGGAGTGCACGGATGGGCAGGCACCCAGCAGTGCCTTACCCCAGGGATGCTCTCGGCTCACTGCGGTCTCCTGCCCGGGAGCTCTCTGAGCTGGCACTTGTGTATTGCTGTGGTCGCTGTGAGTTTGATCAGCAAATTTTTGAACCCATGGGAACCTTTGGCATTCAGAGTGTTTAATAGATTAAGGATGCAGATGTTGGTTTTGAACTCTGCTACCTGATCTTTTGATGCCTCCTGGTTCTGGTGTTTTGAGAGACAGTGTGTAATTGTTCAGGACATAAATGATCTTTGTCGTACCTCTTTTGTAATGATGAGGCTGCTGATCTTTCCTTTTGCATCATCTGTGGTGCCTTTGCTGCCTTTTGATGGGAGAAGGACGGAGTAAGAGCTCTATTCTGTACCTGATGGCATCTGACCATCAACACACACAGCGGTGTAATGGTGTTTTCTAGTTAGTTTTCCACAATTTACTTTTTTCTATATTAAATAATCCCCTATCATCAGCAAACATTGTCCCCTCACCACCCATCTCCTTTACAAGATTATTTAGGAATATATCAACGTCACACAGTCAATGCCACTGTGCCTGACCACAGCTGCAACCAAACCCTGGTCAAACAACCTCTGTCTGCAAACGTTTCTACGCTGAAATCTGCCAGGTGGTTACTCCTCCTGCAGCTGGTTATTGTGTGTGATGGTGACAAGGTGGGTTCCATGCCTCTGTCTTTTCTTGTGGCTTCAGAACCTGGCGAGCGGCTTTATCCAGGTTTGGTACAAGGGTAGCTCAGAGGACAGAGACCAAAAATCTATAGGAAAGCCCATGTCCTTTTTTTCTGGGACTTGCCATCGGCTCTGGCTTTGTCTTCTAATTGTTTCATGATTTAATCCTGTGTAACTTTCTTTTTAATCTGCTGTTGGTGTCAGTCTGACAAAAATATCTCGCTTGCCTGTTTTGAATACTGAGCCTTAATGAATGCATTAAGTCTTTGAGTTTTCTGAAACATTTCTAATATTCCAAGACATGTTTAAAAACTTGTGTCAGAGGAGAGAGCTTGGCCAGCTTGGATCTGTAAGCTCCATCTGCTCTGTCTTTGGTGAACGGAGCTGTGTTGAGCTCCATGGCTTGAGCCAGTTGTGTCTGTGCTCCCTGGAGGCACCGAGGTTGAGAGTCTTCTCGTGCCTGGAGAGAAATCCGTGCTCCAGTTGAGGCTGGAGGCAGGGAACAGACCAGGCTGGGGCAGCGTGGATGGCCAAGGGCTTGGGCTCGATGTAAGCTCTAACCTGCAGTGACAGAGCAGATGTTTCCGTGAGCTAGTCTAGTCATCTGGAGTAGAAGCTGTTTAACTTCTCAGTTGTTACTGGACTGGTGAAAATAATAATAATAATCGTTCTTGTTTGAATGCAAGTCAAGCATCGAGTTTATTCCAGAAGAAGAAGAAAAATCTTTAACAAATTCCTCCTTTTTATGTCACATCATTATTCATAAATAATTTTTCATTGTAAAATAGGTCCACGCAACCATTAACACTAGTATGGTTTTGGCTTTCTTGTTCTTAAGATGTTTCTCTGTGAAGTTTTTCTTGCCTTGCCAGTACTCTGATGAACGATACTAACTCGGAGTGTCTTTCATTAGTTATTTCAGTTTATGGTAATTATTTCATCCTCTTTATTTGCATTCCTTATTTTATTATTGCCATGTTTATTCCCTAGGCATTGATAGCCTTTTAATTAAACTTGTCTGGTGATTTAGAAGGAATTGGTACTGATTTTCTTTACTTGCTTTTGTTCTCATTTCCAGCTATATGCCGTTACCCTTTGGGTATGCATGAAGGGACGATACGGGACGAGGACATCACTGCTTCCAGCCAGTGGTACGATTCCACGGGACCCCAGTATGCACGGTGGGTTAATCTCTGGCAAAAAAAAAATGCAATCTTTTTTTTTCTTCTAGATATCTAGTATGTGATTGTGGAAGAGGTTCCCTCACCCATAAAGCAACATTAAGTTTGCTTAACTTGTTCGCTGCCCCCATATTAAACCTACTTAGTGCATAGTGAAAGACCAAGAGGCAGTGGTCATGGTCAGAAGTTGTAACAGAAGAAATTCTAAATTAATATTAAGAAAAAAAAAAAATCCTTCCCCACGAGGATGAAGTGGTGGAGCTCTGACTTTCAGGACGTGGGTGTACTTGAGCAGCACACTGTAGCTTTGGAGTTAGCCCTGCTGTGTCCTTCCCCATGAGGATGAAGTGGTGGAGCTCTGACAGGTACCCAGAGACATGGTGATGTCTCAGTGTTTGGAGACTTTCAGGACGTGGCTGTACTTGAGCATCGCACTGTAGCTTTGGAGTTAGCCCTGCTGTGAGCAGGAGATTGGGCTGGAGACTTGCAGAGGCTGCTTCCGGCCCTGCTCTTCCTATAGTTGTGTGAATAAATCGCTAATGGATTTGTGACTTACAGGTCAGCTAGGGACAGTGCCCCTGGGATTCTTGTAGAGCACTTTAAACTGAATCGTAGGAAATAATTTACAAGGATGAACTTTTCAACAGCATCGTATTGAGGAAATGAGCTGTGTCCACTTTGACTCAAAAATCTGGAAACTTCAGAGTTAAGGAATTGTTAAAAAACAGTTTAAGGTTTTTCTTTCAGTGTCAAGCAGTACTACAGTCTTTCTCATAAGCTTGGCTTTTCATTTTTTTGTTATTTCTTTTCTCTTAAAGCTACTAACTGATGATTAGCAAAATGCTTACAAATGCAAGGTTCCTTAGAATTGTTCATCATGATGATCTCAAACATTCCTACAGTTTTGGTGCAAGCCAGATACTAATTTCAGGTTAATTATGATACTTACGTTTTTTCCCATCCTACACCTAGTAGTGTCCTGCCCAAGCAGCTCTGCTGAATGAAGGAAAGGTGAAAGATGTGCTGAGATGACCTGGAATAATTTGTAGATGAGCAGAGCTTTTCTTTCTAAAATGGATTTTGAAGGTGGCTCCATGGTTGTTTCTGATCAACATAGAAGTATGTGTCTGGGAAATAAATTACTTCTAACAGCAAATGAAAGTTACTCAGAACTGAGGAAGTTGTTCTGAACAGGGCAAAACTGGCTATGGGGCTCTGAGAAGTCTCAACCCTCACCCCAAAGGGGAGAGGTGTTTGGTAGCCAGCTGTCAGGTCTCACTTGCTGATTTGGTTTCTGTCTCCTAGTTCTCAAAGTTTCAAGGTGTTTCCTCGGTTACTGGGAAGGCTGGATCCTTGGAAGTGACATTTTTAAATGTGTGTGGTTTTCCCTTCAGGTTACAGAGGGAAGAGGGGGATGGAGCCTGGTGCCCGGCTGGCTTGTTGCAACCCGAAGATGTACAGTTCCTTCAAATTGACCTGCACAAGCTCTTCTTCATCACCTTGATTGGGACTCAGGGACGGCATGCCCGTGCCACAGGCAAGGAATTTGCCCGTGCTTACAGAATTGACTATAGCCGCAACGGAGAGCGCTGGATCTCCTGGAAAGATCGCCAGGGCAGGAAGGTGAGTGTAGCAGGCACTGAACTGTGGAGCACGTAGAAGTCAAGTCGTAGAGAACTAGACCAGAGAAGGCACGTTCTGTACATAGTGCCTAGTGTGTTGTTCTTTATCCTGACTCTTCTCTGTCAGGCATTCAGCATCCTCTGCCTTAGTGTTGTGTTTGCTGGGATGTTGGAGTGTTATTCCCCTGACCTGATCCCTCAAAGCCAAGCTGCTGCTGTGGCTGAAAACTGTGGCTCTTCTCTAGTTTTCTGTCTGTATTCAAAACATCACACGAATGCCCCTCTACCAGCCAGACACTTGCTTCTAAGTTGGAAACTGCAAAGCAGATGCCTGCTTTGTGATTAAAAAAAAACAAACAGGGAGGGGGTGGCAGGGAATGGAGATAAATTTCTGGATGTCTGATAGCAGTGTTTATACAGGGAGCAAGAAGGAGGAAGGAGTTTAGAGGGAAATGTGCAGAGCACACACACTGAGAGGCTTCCCCAGTTGTCTCCTGGTGTCTCCAGCTCTGACCACACAGCTCAGCACTGGCTGTGCTCTGGGCATGTTAAACCTCCCCTGGGAAGGAATCCCCTTCTCTCACCTGCAGCTCGTCTGCCCTGATCCCCTGGCCTCAGGCTGGCTGGTGGAGCCTGAAGACCTATGCCAGGCTAGCAAAGGTACTGGGTGGGGTGGTTTTTCCTAGCACTGGGGGTGCTTTGGAGGTCACAGCGGGCTCTATATTGCCGTGCTAAGTAATAGCTTCTAGCTTGTTAATGAATTATTTGCTCACTCAGACCTTTGACCAGCTGTTTGGCCGTTACCATTATCTTCCCCATCCCTCAGGTTTTAGTGTGTGTGGTACAAACGCTGTGTTTGCAGGGTGGGAGGGGAAGTTTAAACTCCATGGCACTAACTGTTCTTTGTGGTGCTTTCTTAGGTGAAATCTGTCCACGTCTCGAGTTATATCAGAATTCAATTGGTTACACTGTCCACAAGCAGCTGAATGCTGCTGATCTCCTCCCCCAGTCCTGTGCAGAGCAGTGTTCTTGGGCACTGGGGACTGTGTTAGTGTCAGGTGTTAGGATTTAGGATGGGTCAGCTTTTGCAAGATCTCCCTCTTAGGCGTAACAAACACGAATGCAGCTGTGTACGATGCTATAATTTGAGCCGTCCTCTATGCTATTCTGTATACGTGGAAGTCCACATATTTTCTGTGTGTGTCCCTGTTCTGCATCAAGCGAGACCAAAATTTTTCCCTCCTGGTATCTTTAGAGAAGATGCTCTGCTCCTGTTGTTCTGGACATGACACACACAATGGGGTGCAGTTCCTGCCATTTCAGCTCCTCTGAAAAATGACTTTCCATAAAACGTATTTTTCAAAACGTGTCACCAGTAAGGGGTATTTTCCATTAGTGAATCCGTATTTCAGAAGTGCTGCTGCCTGGTCACATAATTTGTTAAAAATGTCCTGTAAAATCATACAAGCATTGGAATGAGGTGCAGATGGAGGTGCAATCTATTTATTGGTATATGTTAAGAAGGCCTCTTCCAGTCCTGCAGCTGATAGATGCCCAATCACTGATATTTCAGAGTGTGACTATGTGAGCCCATCTTGGCATGTCTCTGTCCAAGGAGATCACAAAAATGGTTTCAGTAAAAAAAAAACAACCAAAAACCACCAAAAAAAACCAAAAACAAACCCACCCCATAATCCAAAACCCACCAAACGAACCCCTTCACTGTGCTGCTAAGTTTCAGATCTCACAAGATGCTGGGTCATCAGACACATAGCCCATGCTGCTCCTCACTAGGAGAGTCGCCTCCAGGTTTAGTTTGCCCAGTAGAGGTCAAGTTCCAGTCCCCATGTCTCCGATACCAGTTGGGGATGGTGCTCTCCATTGGCACTAATGCTGCAGCACTGTTCACTCCTGGTCCCTCATCAGCTTCTGGTGTCAGCCACCTACTGTCAGGAGCACCACTTCTTTCTTGATGTTGGGAATTGGTATCGGTGGTGGCTGGGACTGGAAGTTGGTAATGAGTTTGTTCCGCACGCCGCTGAGTCACTTTGGGTTTTTTGGCCCTGAGGAGCAGTGTGCTGAGCAGCAGCAACCCCACCTTGTGGAGGTGCTCTGCAAAGTGCATCTTTGCTCTGCCTTCTCTCAGATGTCTCTACAGGACAGGCAGAAATGTCAGCTCTTCCCCTACAGAGCTGGTGCAGAGGTACCTTCTTCTGAGAGGGATGGCTGAAGCTTTCTTCCTCTGACTCTGTCCATCTAGGACTTCTTGGCTTGACACATCTGCCACCTTGGAGATTCGCTGACAGATGGTCAACTCCAGAGGATCTGTCCAATGTCTGTGATAAAACCGTGGAATATTCTGCCATATGCTGTCTCCTTTTGGGTTTTATCTCCTATCTGCAAGGTCTGTGCACCTTTACTGAGCCATCCAGGAGGGTGCAGGAGGTTGTTCCACAGCTGTCCTGGTGGCTCCTCTTCAGGGAGGTGCAGTCTTCTGAGTGGCTTCCTTTTGTGGTGCAATAAGGTCTTTCACTTCTCAGTGGACTCTCCGGCCACACTCACTCTCTGGAGATCTTCCTAGCTGCCATGAGGAGGAGCCACCTTTCTGCTCCCTTATTGGCCTCCCTCGTCTTTTAAATCGCTTGTACATCAACAGCTCCAATCCATGGGGTCTTCCGAGTAACCTCAGCCTCTGACTCATCCTTCCTACAAATAGCGCCTTTGAACAGGAGCCCTCATACTTGTCATTCAGATTTTTTCTGCCAAAAATGTTCTTATTCATTTCCATAGGTCCAAATCCTTTTAAAAAAAAAAAAAAAAGAAAAATATCTTGGGCACCTTGTCTCTGCTGCTGGGGGACGGACAGCTTCAGCTGTTTCCCCACACTCCAGATAAGTAGCGGACTGTTCCCAGAACAGGGGTGGGACTGAGGGGAAGGGGAGGGTGGCAGTCCCTCCATGCCAGGCTGCGTTTCAGCAGGGTGGGGTGACTGTGGCAATGCTGAACACTTCCATTCGAGACATCTGCCAATGCAGCTGCTTGCACCTCCATCCCCCAAACACTGCAGCACCTCTGGAATTGTGTTGGCTCATAGGAAAAGGTCACCAGGACCCACCTCCGGGTCACTAGTGATGAGGGCAGGTGCTCACTTACCTGCTGTTAAAGCGTAGATGGAAAGTCCCTTGAAGCAAGAAGATTCTATACTAGTAACTGGAGCTTTCTGCAACGTATAGCCCACATGTGCATTCATCTCCCACCTGCCGTTCTCCTCTCTCTCAGAATACTGCCTGGTAGGGGTCTGCAGTGGGCAGGAGGTGACACGGCAGCACCCGTCACCCTGTAAGCCATGTAAAATAGGAGGGGAGCAGCAGCAGCAGCTGATCCTCTGCAGATACTCATGGGAAAGCTCAAGGACACCACTGTGCGAGTGGACAGCACAATAGGAAGAAGTTGCTGATAAGAATCTCTCTTCTCCAGGTGATCCAAGGCAACATCGATACTTACGACGTCGTCTTGAAAGATCTTCGGCCTCCCATCATTGCACGTTTTATCCGGGTGATTCCTGTGACGGAGATGCCGATGACTGTCTGTATGAGAGTGGAGCTCTATGGCTGTGTCTGGTATGGTAAGTACCAATTTCTGTGCCTGTCACTGGAAAATAGTCGTTACACAATGCGGACTGGGACTCACCCGCGTCCCCACGTACGCAGAGGGAATTCCAGGCCCACGGAACTGCTTCTGTTGGTCCACATCACAAATAAAAGGATCATATGGACAGAGATGATGGAAGGCTGCTGCTACTGTATTTCTCAGGTATATGGCCTTCTTTTTTAGATGGTTTGGCATCCTATAGCATCCCTGAAGGAGGGACAATAGCGGCTCCTGGCTTCCCCATCGTTTATCTGAATGACTCGACCTATGATGGCTACCAGGAGCGCAGGTGGGAGAAGTCGTCCTGTTCTTTCTCGGTCACTGTGCAAACACTCTCTTCTTTCCTACTCACCCTGTCAGTAGTATCTTGTATCCCAAGCACTTGTCTAAGACCTCCAGAGCTGCAAGCTAGCTTACTAGTTCTCCAAAACATCGTGGCTTTGTTATTCCAAGCCCTTTGACACGTTGTTATTGCTCTTTTGAAGGAGGGCATGGGCTCAGGATGCATCAGATTGATTTCCCCCAGCTGACAAAGGCTGGCAGGAAGGAAATAATCTTTTTGTTATTGGAAGTTGTTGTTGCTTCTCTTTAGAGAGAAGAGTGTCCTTATACAGCTAAGTGCTGTCTTTGTTCATACCTTCCATCTGAAGCAGTCCTGATGTGTCTGATTGCCTTAAAGCCCTCATCGCTCTTGGTCTCTAATTGTGACCATGTTCATTGCACTGATTTCTTTGCTGGTTCGGGTATAGCCTTAAGCTGTCGTTGGTACAGCAGATCAGAAGGTGCTGCTGCTCTTCTGCTGCCCCAGATTGGAGTGGGAGAGCTGGCTGGACCTTCTGCCTGCACAGTCCCAGTGTTCCTGGAGCAGGTGAAGGTCCTTCCCTCTTCGTTGCCTTTGTTGCTTCTGCAGTTTGATATCTGAAATGCATTCTCCAGCAGACTGCATCTTAAACTGTTGCAGGAGGTCTCCAGGGTAAACTGGGCATCCGAGAAAGCGCGCAACACCTGAACTCTAGGCCTGCGCTTGATACCTGTGAGCTTCTGGACAGATTTGAGATGTTGTTTTTGAAAACAAAGCTCTGATGGACTTGAAACAACTTGGAAAACTGCATCACTCCCTGTGAGAAGCTCCAGGTCAGCAGAGGCACCACTGCCAAGGTGGTATGAGAGGAAGGTGGCTGATCACTCACTGTAAAGATTTCTCGGGTATGATGCTTTTCCAATTTGGAGTCAAAAAGCCTAAAGTAACTGGATTTTGACAGCTCGTTACAAGGTCTGTTAGTTTTTCCTATCACTGAGGTTAGGTAGGGTGGCATGTTGTTGGCATTTTGAGGAGTCTCTGGTTTACCCGACGGTTGGCTCTCACGGAAGGAGAGCTCATTAAGAGTCTGCATCTGAAATGTGAAATAACTGGCCAAACTTTCAGACGTTTAGTGTCACCACTTTCTTTGCTATAAATACAGATTTGAGTGTGTTTAAACAGCTTGAAACCTCAGACAAACTCGGGCATGGGTATCATCTTGAGGCAGCATGTCCCTGCCTGTGCAGGAATGTGCCTAGTAAGTGACCTGACAGTGTCCCTCCAGTGACCTGGTGTCATCCATTGACTTAAGGTGCTTTTATTATATGTCCTGTTCCAGTTGTCAGTAACTTTCTGAAAACTGTTGCTGTTGCCTAAATTCTTTTTTATGCTTAGAAGTGATTTTTGTAAACTTATTCTGTTGTGCTGGAGGTTAAAGTAACGGGGTGGAAAGTACATTCTTCATGCTTGTGGGATGTTGCAAGATACTGGGTAACAGCATCTTTATATGTTAATATCTGATGCTTTCAAGCTGCATTGATATAGTAGGGATAAGATGTTAAAGAAAAATTTTAAAAAGGAGTTTATGTGCAGAAGGATATAGGTGTTGCACTTAGTGCTGGACAGCTAACTTTGGAAGCTGGGTCTGCTGGGGAGTGCCAGGGAGCTGTGGATGTAGGCACAAAACCCAGCGTGCTAAGCAAGGACCCTTTCAGGCTGGCCTGGAAGCGGGAGTCTGCCTCTTCCAGCTGTTAATCCCGCTTTGGAGTTCAAAGCCACATGTACCTGTGCAAATTCTGGTGACAGGAGGGCTTCCCTGGACGTGCAGCAGCCCAGCCCGGGTTACAAGGACTGCCCAGGGGCAGCTGAATGAATTTGGCCCGGGGGCACGTTCGGGTGTGAATACAGCTGAACTGTTCGCACTTCTGCTGTAGGAGAAGGGATGTGCCCGGGATGGCTCCCAGAAGGCAGGTGGGTCAGCAGCGTGCTACATCTGGCATCTTCCACTCTGGGACAGTGCTGGAAAGCTGTGCAGTGGGCTCTGCGCTCAGATAGGAAGGGGAATGAGGCAGGTCCTGGGCAAAGAGTCTGGTCAGCTGTGGAAACGGAGCTGATAACGCTCTCCTCCTGCACAAGGAGCAATGCCAGAAATTATCCCGGTTTGAACTGGCCGTGGCTGGGTGAGATGCCCATGGTCTCACTGCTCTTTTTCCTGCTTTTCTGTGCCTGCCTACTAAACTGTCCCCGCTGGTTCTTCCAGGACGGGATGGAGCAGTGTTCCTCCCGTGAAGCTCCACGGTGAATTGCTGCAATTAAAGCTGTTTGGAGAGCATACGGTGTCATTTTCTGTAGTCTCAGTTTTCATTCTCAAGAGACTCTGGTCATAGCTTGGCTTTGCTGTCAGTGCTTGATATCAATGCAAAAACTTCTGCGTTTTCCCAAGCAGGAAGAGATTTTAAAAGCCCAGCCCGAACAAAATACAGATGACGTTGCATAAGAACAGGGAATGAGCTCGGGATGGGTTAAGAGTAAATGAACTAATGTTTTCCTGGTGCCAGTTGAAGGACCCGTGTGCTTTCACATTTGAGCTCTCCTGGCTGGTACTCTGCCTAACTGATGGTTCTTTCTTGCTAGGCACTTGTACGGTGGTCTGGGCCAGCTGACAGACGGTGTGCTGGGACTGGACGACTTCACGCAGAGCCACCAGTACCGTGTGTGGCCAGGCTACGACTATGTCGGCTGGAAGAATGAGAGCTTCAGCACAGGCTCTGTTGAAATGGAGTTCCAGTTTGACCGACCGCGGAACTTCACCTCCATGAAGGTAGGCAGCGTCATCCCTCTGCAGCAGCCTGGGGCAGGCTTTGGGTCTGGGTGCTCCCAGATTGTCCCTTTGGGTCCTCTTCCCAAAGCAGGAGGATACCAAGTGCCTGACAGCAGAGTCAGCCGTAGGCAGAACTGGAGCAGGAGATGTCCTGAGTTTGCGAGGAAATGGTCTCAAGTTGCACCAGGGGAGGTTTAGGCTGGATATTAGAAAAAATTTCTTCACGGAAAGAGAGATGAGGCATTGGAACAGGCTGACCATGGCCAAGGAGGAGGGT